AAAAAAAATGGGGATGCAAAATTTTTGAAATGTGAGAATGTATCCTCCTCCCGCCCCCGATTTACGCCTTGTAATGGGACGCTAGTCAGAAGCAGTCTAGTCAAATTCCACTCCAGCAGTCCATTTCTCTTTTTTCAGTCAAATGCTACACTTTTCCCAACAGACTCTGTCTTGACGATAACCATTATCGTATCGTGGTTGTCTTCTCCTGGGCGGGAGTGCCGTCATCCTTGCAGTTTACAGGTGAGCGGTCCTCTTGATTTCATTGCCAGTCGGTTTTTTTTGTCGACGAGGGAACCGTTTGACACTAACCCGGCCCGTCCTTTCTCCACTACGAGTACTCATCAATCTACTCCGTCGCGATATACATACACTGCAAAAACTGCAGTGTTTAAATTTACACCATTTGTATCTATATAGGACCATCTGTTGTTAAATTGTACTGGTGTTGTCCTATATAGATACCGAATGGTGTTAAATTAACACTACAGTTTTTGCAGTGTAGATGCAGCCCATAATTTATAATGGGCTCTGCTTCCACTTACACGGAGGCATTACTTTTAAGAACCCGATGATGAGAAAAAATGCACTTTGCGCGAAAGCAATTTGGCATTCCGGAGGAAAATGGTACCACCACGTACCGAAGGAAGCTTCGTAATTGCATTGAAATTTTGATCAAATAAACAACGTCTAGGCCTGAAACAGGTGGTGCTGTGATGCAGAAAAGTCGTTTTAAATGTTTTTTTCCCCCTGGTAACGAAATCGTCGGTGGCACCACGAAGTGCCGTATTGTTGTGGCGTAACTGATTAATGAACAAAAAGAGTAAGTTACTGCACTTTGCCAAAGATGGCTTTTAATAAATTTTTGGGAACTCCATTTTAAAAATGGTCAATTCAGAAATCTGAAATGCTGGCCAGTCAGTTTCTTTTAATTCTTTATCTTTTCTTTAAAACACTTTCAATGTTCACTCTGGAAAATAAATCAGACGATTGAAAGTGACCGTACGACAATTGTCGTTACGGTAGCTGAATCACACTTGTTATCGTATTTCGCCAAGCAGAATTTTAATAACTCCTACCTCGGAAAAAAATAACAAATCTAATTTATTTAAGCCACTCGACCATTCGGGTCTATGCAGAATCAATTTCCGGAATGTGCGTTGAGCCAGAGAATAATAACACATTTCGAACTCTGAAACATTGGCATTCGTGAAAGACGTGATTTTGAAAGAATAATAATGATTAATGATAATTATATTCCCATGCCCCTGCCTGCCTGCACGTGCTGCTTGCAAATACAAACACCATAATTTTGAAATTGATAAAATAGTCCCCACATTTGTTGCCTTGGGCTCAGCTGAAGTGGACATGAAAAGAACACATCTGGAGACAACCCGATCGAATTATAGTCCATGTAGCAAACGGGTATTCGCTTCAGACGAAATGTTGATTCAATAGGCAACATTCTTGGAGCCGCACGTATCCCGTAAGCGCATGATTATTCTAACGGTCCCTAACGTTTCCGAATGACCGTTTGATAATTCACGGCAATATTGTATGGCAATATTTTTGTTAATTTTGTTCAAAAATATCTGGAGATCAATCAGTTGAATAATTGAAAACCCCATTTCATAGTACACAACAGTTCTCATTTCTGTTGTAAAATAAAAAATTAAGCGAAAAAAAAATGTGTCCGATTGAGGAATCTTTACATGAACTATTAGAGCTTATATTTTCCTTTAACTCTATTCAGGAAGTTAAAAAGAGATGCCGCTATCCAAAGTAGGGCGTGGCAAATAAAGTGGGAGGAGCTACAGATGCAAAGTGACCACGCCCGTGGATGCAGAACCTCTTCGTTTTCTCTTGTAAGTTCCCCGGCCACGGACACTTCAAGATTAGTTTACTTTCATTTTGAAGTATATGACCGTGAATGTTGTCTGTATTTGTTGCGGTTACCTGATTGTCGAATGAACAAAACCATAAAGGTTGCCAAGCCACAAAAAACATTCAAAATTGAATTCCGATTTGCCTAATTTAATAATCTTTGTTATTGACTACCTGAATTATGTAGGGCAATGCCGAGAATATCATTGTATAAGGCGAAGCAGGTACCGACAAAAACATCCACAGAACGGCAATACTTTCATTTTGAAACCTTGAATCGTTCTGAGAAGAAGTTAATCTTGTTATGCCAACCTGATCAAGCAGGGTTGGGCTCCAATAAGCCGCGCAGCTGTGATCCTGAGGGGAATTCTGCTGCACATTAATCACAGTTCATTCAATTTTCAATGTCAATTTCCCCTCAATGGAAGATGTCTCCCTGTCTGTCAGCCGTTCGTTGTCACAAAAAGAGTCCCTTTTTGTATCAGTTGTTAAAACAAACTGTTTCATTTTTTTTTCTCTCGTAGGGGAGTGTTTCTTTAAAAACGGAAGAAGGAAAACAGGTTTTTACCCAGACAGCATTTTACCAGGTGAGAGTTTGAGAAGTAACCTAAAACAAACAAACAGATGCAGGCAGTTTCTCAAACCTCATTTCGTTCGAGTTTCGGCTTCATTATCTTTTCCCGTGGCGGAAATTGATCACTGTCTCCTAAGTCCAAAATGGTCATTAGTCTCCAAAGTCAATGGCCTGAATTGGAGCCTGAAGCAACAACAGGAGACGGGGCCGATGTTTGAGTAATGGCCCTTGAGACTTTGAAGACATCCAACAAGGTTACCATGTTTTCTGCAAAATCATCACTATCAGACGTAATTCAATGACAATGGGCGTTAAAGGAAATATACAACATTTGCTTTGCTGTAACTTTCAGAAATGGATGGATTTGGGGGATAGTATCATATAGCAAATATCATTACTGAACAAGTTCTATAGTCGCCTTTGAAAGGCTACTAAAAGGGGGAGCAGTAGATCATCATTTTGATGCAAAGTACAATTAAAGTTCGTTGAAATAAGCAAGATTTCCTGACAGAATCGGTCTCATTTATTGGTTTAAAAAAAAAATGCCAGCGAAAAATTAAGTCACACAGAGGATATTTCATAGAGTTACACCCGGGGGGTGTTAACTATATTAAAGGCCCCTTAGCTGACAGTAGATAATACTCGTCTTAATTGTCTAAGTATTTTGTTTTCCCTTGTATTTTTCAACAGGGTCGAACTGTTGCTGTCAAGAGGATCTCCCAAGATGAAGTGAAGATGAATAGAGAGATTCTCATTGAGCTGAAAAACGTAAGAGGACATAAGGGTTGATCATCTTTAACTTTCGCTGTTGAAAAGGATATAATTACGGACACATTTCTCTGTGAAATTTGAATGAACACTCTTTTAAAACGAATAGCTCATAATTATTCTCAAGGAAATTTCTGTCCACAGATGCGGGATTTGGAGCATCCCAACTTGGCAAGATTTATCGGATTGTGTGTCGACGTTCCTAACGTGGCCATCGTCAACGAGTATTGCCCCAAAGGAAGTCTGATGGTACGTAGTCTTTTTGAGACATCACATAACAAGTAAGACAGTGCCGTAACGAAGGTGGGGGGGGGTAGGCCTTTCCTATTGGTTTTGAGTTGGGGAGTAGACAACATACGAAGATTTTGGACTCTTTTCATATTGAATTACATGTTTTTGCATAGGTGAACTGAATTTGACACATTGCCGTCTATCTCACGCCAGGCAATGTTTACCGTTAAATTTGCTAACACTAATAAAGTTGAAATGTTCTTCCCCCATTTGTGGTTTGTGTGTTGCGCAAGTAAACAATTTCTTGTAAACTATTTCTTTGAAGAAAAAAAACAGTTTCATATAAATAACCGAGTCGAACCCAATTTTCATTGATTTCATGGTCGGCGTAAATGGTATCGGTAGCTTTATGTTGAAATACTCATGACGTATAAAATAAAGATCAGTAAAGGCCTGTGACTTATATACATGGACGAGTTGAATGTAGAAGCCAGACGTTGAGGCTTCTATAGATCCGCCCTGTCGTTATTCTGTCCATTGTCCTGCTTTTAACTCTGTGACAAACACAATTTGGAGGATTCCACTAATTTAGAATAGTTGATATACCAATGTCATCTGCCCACCACAAGCAGTAATTCAATATTTAATTCTTGTGAAATTGCAGGACATTCTTCAGAAACGATTCCATCAAACTTGACTGGTTCTTCAAGTACTCCCTTATCAGTGACGTCATCAAGGTATTTGTGGTCTCAATTTAAATTCATTTGAAAGCAAAGATTCCTGGAGGAAAATCAATCCCTTTTGAAGAAAAATTTTCTTTTTTTTATTCCTTTGAAAAGCAGTAAAATGATTTGATTTCCCAGGATACTGTTATTCAAGATGTCAGTGTGCCTTTCCGGTTGAATTGAATTGAATTAAATTTTGCGGGTCTTACGCAGTTTACTTTAAGCCGTGGAAGTTTTTCAACGTGAAATGTTGGAGCATTTTTTTTTCGCTAAGTGGTCAATAACAGAATCTGATTGATCAATGCAGGGAGTGCAGTACCTTCACCGCAGTGAGCTGTCAGTCCACGGCCGACTCAACTCCTCCAACTGCCTCGTCGATAGTCGATTCGTCCTCAAACTTATCGACTTTGGCTTGCCGTCCCTCCGAGAGGGCGCTTCGCAGGCCCTCGGTGACCACGCCCTGCTGACGAGTGAGTCATCACATCTTCGAAAAACACAAAGCATTGTCCTTCATTTTTAAAAATGCATACTCTAGATTCTTTCATAAATAATGGACTTTCATGTTTTTTTTCTGTTATGCTTATCTCTAAGTGAAAATCCAAACGGACTTACTTTGAAAAGAGATTTTCTTTAAAGCAAAATGAAAATAAATATATAAGTGTACTTCTGGAGAGATAAACAAAATTAAGATGTAGGCCTATTTGTATCAACCAAGATTTAGCACATTGTCAATCTCCTTTCTTCTTGATACAAAGTAAAGATTGTTGTTGATTTTCAATTTTGTACGTTATTGCCTGTCTTCATTATTGGAGTAATTTCACCTTTTATTCTCAGAGTCACTTTATGTTGCCCCAGAGCTACACCGCGATCCAAAGCGAGGCCCAACCAAAGAGGGCGACATTTACAGTGTAGGGATGCTCATGGGAGAAGTTGCAACCAGGCAGGGACCGTATGAGGCCGAGTCGAAGAACATGGAACTAAGTGGTAAAATATCGAATTTGTAAGCTGTAGCCAACGACTAGTTGAAGTTTATTAGCAATCAATTGTTGCTAAGAATCAACAATGCGAATTTGTGAAGCGCACATATCCATCACAACTGGTGCTCAAGGCGCTACATCATTATTACCCTTGCTCACTGGGCTAATAGAACGTACCAAAGACCATCTCAGCTCCCTGTGAAGTATTCAGTTGGATGCTGCCATTTTCGGTGCACACCAGCCAAAATCAACCACAATCACCATATATCTGCCCTCCCAGGAACCCATCTAGTCCTGAGTGGGGAGAAGTGTCTTGCCAAAGGACACACACATCGTAACGCCACAGGTTGGACTCGAACCAACAGCTGGCAGAGCTACCCTCAGAACTTTAATTGGATGCCTCAGACCACGAGCTATCGACTTGCCACTCCTAAACATCCGTAGCAAAATGTTCCCTTTGTATACCTTCTCCACTATTTTTTTAACGGTGGTTGTCAAAATATTGATTTTGTTTCCCACTTTTTAGAGATTGTTGACAAAATCAAGTGTCCTCCTTCCGGCAGCCTGAGTCAACCATTCAGACCACAGGTTGCCGGCGAGAACGTCGACTCCAGTATATCCGAGTTGATCAAAGCGTGTTGGGGCGGAAGACCCTAAAGACAGACCTAATGTCAACTCGCTGAACGCATCCATCGTCAAAATCAACAGGTGAGTTTAATACAGTGGCTAAGCACAAAGTGAACGCAATCCTAGATGATATCATTCACCAGGGCCCAGTCTCATGTTGGTGCTAAGTAGGAAATATCGCTAGCAAGTTGATATGTTAAGGAAAATTCAGCTGAGTACCAGGTAAAATCAATATACACAGCGTGACGTTTTTGGTTGGTACCCTGCTTTTTCTAAGCAAAATTGTTTGTGGCTTAGCAATTTGTTTGTTGGAAGCGGCTCTTTCAAATCAACTTCTGAGTATTAATGATCTAAAATGCTGATGATTCCTCGGAATAGAAAGAGGAACACAGGCACGGGTATCCTAGACAACCTGCTGAATCGGATGGAGCAGTACGCCAACAATCTGGAAGAGTTGGTGGAGGAGAGAACCGCAGCCTTCTTGGAGGAGAAGAAACGAGCTGAGACGCTGCTTTATGAGCTCTTACCCAGGTCAGAAATATCTAAGAAACTCTTGAATAGCTTCCTAAAAGATACACAGTGAAAGATATGCATAGACATTGTTCTCCATAGAACATAACTGCTGTATTCCTGTTTTGTTGAACTGCCTTTCGTTATGTCCACTTAAACAAATTTTAACCTCCCTATAATCATTGACCCATCTAAGAGTTATCGCCTTTGATTCTCTCTTGAAACCTTCCTCTTTTAAAGCTACACTGCAAAGATGGCGATGTTATTATGAAGACATAGATACAGACACTCACGGTTTCATTACAGGACTGCCGATGTAAAACTTTTTAATACACCTTTTTTTCAGTGTACGCACTCCCTCTAGTATCCCGTCGCAAAGCACATTTCTTTAACCTGTTTCATGTCCTTTGCGCCATCAGTTTTATGGAAGTCTTTGACATTGGCGTCTTTCCTGTAATTTGCCAAGTAGGCCTATCATGACTTTGTACATGTAGAGAAGTAACTAAGCATTTAAAGAAAAAAAAAGTCTTCAATATGTCAATGATTAGCTTGATGTCGATCTTAAAAATCGGGGAACTTGAGAAATGCTAAAAGTAATTTGTTTCTTTCAAAATTTTGCAGGGTCGTAGCAGATCAGTTTGAAGCAAGGCAAGGCCGTCGACCCGGAATCTTACGACAGTGTCACCATCTTCTTCAGTGACATCAAAGGGTTCACTGAACTCTCGGCACAGAGCACGCCATGCAGGTGGTTTTAAACTAATCCCTGATTCGTTCTGTAGATATCTCACGCTCACACCACAGTTTGTTTTGAAATTGTACAAGCCGGCTTAATGTTCTAGTTCAATTTATGCATCTCGAACCGCCTTGCTCAGTGTGTTCAGGAGGCTATTATTCCCTTATAAGGAACTATTTCTCAGCGAGTTCACGTGTAGGGAACGTCCCACGACATTTTGGCTGATGATTTGATCTTGCTAAGTGACAGCTTCACGAAATGTATCCTCAAGAATTGTATTAAAATAGGCATTTACAAAAGTGATTTGTGTTTATCTCTGTGCCACAGGTGGTCATGTTACTGAACGATCTGTACACCTGTTTTGATGGCATCATTGAACATTTTGATGTGTATAAGGTAAGCTGAACTTATAACCTCTGAAACCAAATAATGCTCTGCTCAATTTCAGCCTCTTGTAACTGGTTGTTCCGTGTTGGGACACCGTAGGAAGACTTCCTTTTAAGACATTTGTCTTCGTTTCTGTTCAGGTTGAGACTATCGGGGACGCCTACATGGTGGTGTCTGGCGTGCCAGTCCGCAACGGCAATGCGCATGCGCGTGAGATTTGCAACATGGCGCTGGCCTTGCTTAAGGCAGTCGGCTCCTTCAGGATTCGACACAAGAGAGACCAGAAACTTCATATGCGGGTGGGAATACACACAGGTATAGGTAACCAATAATCATTATCATGGCATGTCAGTCATTGTTGTTGATACCGAAGTTTATTTGGCGAATATACGGGTCAAAAGCATAATGATTTGCATAGACGCATTGAAGCACTTCCATAATCCTAATAGGGATTAATATAACTTTTACAATGTTATGGTCCATCAAGGAACTTTTTCAATTGCGCTCTTTTCCGTGATGTATAGACGTTATTCAAAGTTGAAGCGTTACAACTTTTTGAAAACTTAAACAAGAGTAGGTGTGGGTTTGTTTTCTTTGTTTTTTTTGAGGGGGGGTAATTTTCTCTTTTCTTTGGACGTGTAAGATAGTATGTTGTGTTGGAAGATGTTGTTGTTAACTTTGGACATTTTATTAATGGTTATAGAAAAATGAATGTGTCCCGCAGATATCAACACTTTAATTTTGTTTTTCATTGTGACTTCAGGTCCGTGCGTAGCTGGCGTGGTGGGGCTCAAGATGCCTCGCTATTGTCTCTTCGGAGACACAGTGAATACGGCATCTCGAATGGAATCAAACGGAGAAGGTACTTTTTTAATATATACGTTGCCATGGTTACCCCGTCATTTCGTACTGCGAGCTAGAGTGGTCCATTTTCATAACTTGAACTTTATAAGTAGTTCCCCTTGACGACTCGTAATTTAGATTTCAGACTTCGCCCTGTCGGCAATTTGTCGTTGATGGCGCTTTAGAGAGTTTGTCCTGATTGATGAATGACCTCCCGTTTACCGCTTTTATGGATAAAAAAACAGCTGGAGAATTTAATAGAGTGTAGGTCGTTCGCATTTTGATAAAACTACAATTCCCCCCAGACAAAAATTTGTTTTCAACTTCAAAGAGGTCTACTTATGAGAATCCCTGTGTGCAATTAAAGTGAGGGCTTATTCCGAATTTAGAAATAATAGCGAGATAGAAAGGGGAAATATTGCAGGGAATTGTGCCTTTGATGATACAAACAAGGCATTCGGCACACAGTCAGATTTTGTCACGAGAAAGATATGTGGCTATTATATCTATTAAACATTTGTCCTTTGAAAAAATATAGGTAGAATAACAAGCAATTTTCAAAATGGCTGCCATTGCTTGTTATTCTACCTAATTTTTTTTCAAAGGACAAATCTGCGATGCCTTATCGCCAAATATCTTCTTAACACATACTCTGACTGCGTGCCAAATGCCATGCTTGTATCATCCAAAGCACAATCATATCACCTAATCGCCGTAACAGCTATAGTGAATGATGAAATAACTCAGGTTTCTTCCTTCTTTGACCCTACTTGCAGTTCTGCTTTATAACTGATTTTCCTATATACATGTCTTTATCTGCCTCCACCAAGCTTTGAAGATCCACATCAGTTCGGACACCAAGGAAATTTTGGAGGATTTCGGAGGCTTCAACATTGAACTCAGGGGTGCAGTAGCACTAAAGGTATGATTGAGTTTAATTCGAGCAGATCGGGCTCAGTCAAGTTCTGATCTGAGAGTATCCAAAGCTAATTCAAATAACCAAACAGCCATTTTTTTAAAAACTTTATTTCAAACTTAAAACTGAACCACGGGGGAAAAGTTCAACCAACAAGTCTAATGTCACATAGAAAAACGCATCAATTACAAGATATCACCGTCCTATTGAAAGCGGAGTGCATTTTTATCGTGTAAAAAAACATGGGAGGTTTCTGAATTTCTGTTTACGAGTTTGAACTGTAACTTTTTGCAGTTTTGCACGAGCTTTTAATAACTTCGCATTTTTTGTTTTGGTTGGGACTGCAATTCTATCTCGGATAAACAGTACAAATTCAGTTGTTTTCATTTGCATGTACCCCCATCTTTTCTTTTATCCATTTCTTTCTCCACCGTTATTTCTATTTATTTAAGTTGTTGGCATTGCATCCAATAAGTATAAGGATTCGTTTTTATTTGCTGACCATTTTCACAATTTTTTTTTCTCCATATTTTTGCATTCTTGATTTTTGAATTTGTTTCATTTTCAGGGAAAGGGCGTCCAAACCACCTATTGGTTGCTAGGCAACAGTGAAAAATGTGTGAATGCGGTTACCGAGAGTGAGTTCACCTAATCATAAAATATCATTGAAATATTCTACGGACTCATTTGCGATTATTGTAAATATATGTGTATTAATATACATTTTCACAGGCCTGGTGTTTTTATCCACAAATGGGACATTTGCTTTCAATCTTTTTTCCCTTGCACTTGTATATTGAAAAATCACATCACATGTACTTTGTCCTATAGAAACTATATAAATTATATTTTATTTCCATATAGATTGTATTCATAAAATGATATATTCCATACCTATATTTTCATATATTTTCATAATTGTTCGTTTTTCAAAACAAAAATCAACCTTTTCTGAGGACAAGGATTACGAATTTGGCACAAAGGATGGGAAATTACACACAAAAAATATATCTAATGCGACTATTATCATTTACTATTAAGTACTTTTCGGGTAGTACAATTTTATCATGGTCGATTGTGTACAGTAGCTCAAAGAAGTAAGAAACTGATGAGCATAAAGGATAAACCCTCAAGTTGAATGTATCCAAAATTAACGGTTTAAACAATTACTCTATCTACTTACAATGTTGCTAGGCTACGTGTTCTCTTTTATGACAACGCGTGAGGCCTCCTCCTACTATACTTACCATCAATTCTGTACAAAGTATATTTATACTTAATTATATGTAATGTTTTCATTATTTGTGTAAACCAGCTGAAAGAAACCCAATGTAAATGAAACATGAAAATACTATAACTATATTTTGTACTATATAATTATATTGTGAAATCATTCTATATATAAATATCGACCGAATGTCAGATTTTTTCTTTAAAGTTAAGATTTATATGAAACGTTTATCGTTTTATTACAAATATTGTTGTCATGTAAAATTATATGTATGTATTTACGTGTCACTGTACTAAGTCACACGTGCAAATACGGCTTTCTAAACATAAACAAATAATTCCTCTTTACAAAATATGTTTTTACTACGCAAACTAACGTAACGAAATCCGACTGACTGAAGAATAATTATAAAGCTCTTGCATGGAAGTTCACTTATTTGACAACAGAAGCTGTTTAAGTTTTCTTTACGAAAACCCAAACTATTTGATATGGTAGCATGTTTTTAAAAAAATCAAACAAAATCTTTAGTAATAAAGTGCAACCTTAAAAGAAGTCGGTTTTGAGAATCATAAAACATTCCTTTGAATTTGCCAATAATACTTTATATTCATGTGCAGACCAAATAAAGTTATCTTTCACAATTGCAACAGTACTTTAAAAAGTGTTTGGCTGTAAGTGCAAATTTTCAAGTTGACCACTAATATATAACAACAGGCACGCCTAATTCCATTAATTCAACAGATAAGTTAATACATTAGGTATCACATGAGGCATGCGCATGATGCAGTGGAAATGTTCGTGTCTAGCTGAGAAGACAATGTATATGACCATGTACAAAATGTGTCAAATAGCCTACAGTGCATGCTTTCAAAAATATGTTCTTTTTAGCGTCTGGACCCGAACAAATTACTGTACCAAGCGGAAATCGGTTTAAAACTATAGTCATCAGCAACTGCAACTCTTGGCATTTTGATTGGTGAAGTTTTAGCTTTGGGGTGCTGTGGTCCAATAGTTACGTGTTCGACTCGTTTGCTGGGGTAAATGGGTTCGAATCCTGACGGGGAACATGGTGCTTGTTCTCTTGAGCAAGGCACTTTACCATTATTGCTTCGTCCTTCGGATGGGACGTGAAGCCGTAGGTCCGTGTGTTGTGTAATGCACGTTACGAACGCAGTAACACTTATCGCTAAGAGAAGGGGTTTGCCCCAGTGTTTCTGGTAGTGGCTGCAATACGCGCCGCAGCACCTTGTATGCCCTTTATAAAGGTGCTACATAATGGGTCTCACATTCTCATAAACTTCATTTACCTGTCTTCAAAAATTTACATAATTACCAGCGCCTTGAGTACCTAATTGTCGGTAGATACGTGCGCTATATAAGACTCCTTAAATCTTCCTTGCTTAGCTGCTCGATAAAATTGGCCTATGTCTTCTCTTGTCAACCTGATTCACACAAATAGATACAGCCTCAAAAGAGCGCATGTTCAGCCTGTTGAAGTTGACCAACTTTCAATTCTCGGTAATCGACATATGCCCATCGTCGAGTGTTTCCTCAGGTTGTCGCTGATTATCGACAAGCGGTCGATTTAACCAGGTTTCTGTGTTTTTAAGTCGACTGATGTCGAGTTCTCCTCTTTTGGTCAAAATGTTGTTGCTTTCCAAAAGCCAAAATGTCGTTTGAGTTCCCTTACCCTGTCGGACATTAAAGAAAAAGCATTTAACAAATAATAAAGTTCACTAATCAGCTGAAAATGAAAAAAACAAAATGCTGTATAACATCAAATCCTATATGATAACTAAATGATTATCACGTGTAGATTGTCCTGCAACAAGTTTATAAACTCCTCCTTGTAAAACATTTTCTGTGATAATATGAACTTTTTAAGCGAATGGAAACAATGCCAGTATATTCAGGATTTTCTTTAAATTCTGGCAGGAAACCATTTTCGTCATCTTACCTTCATCTCCACAGCTCCTCTTAACTGAAGTTGGAAGCATCCAAAGCTATCCAGTATGACTTTGGTGTCGGAACTAACATGTATCTTCATGGCTGAAAGAAATACATTAATTTGTTTTTGTAATTTATAAGATCTCCTGATGTAACCCAAAATAAATAACTTTCAATTCTAAAGCAACCGCGAGCTTTGCTTGGCGGAGAAACATGTCATTTCTTGGTGGCAAATAAGCCGTCATGAATAGCGCCATCAAGTGTCAAGTAATGCCCTTTCCGTCTACAATAAACAACGTCCCTACCTATCAGATAACGTCGTTCTCCATCCCCACCCCCCCCACCCCATCCCCCACCCCAATTATTTTCAATTATTTTTTTTCGAATCTCTGGCGGTCAAATGAGCCCTTTCAAATTGGTCTTGCAACGCCTTGTATAATATAGACAATACAATACAGACCGTCAGAAATTGTACGCGTACGGAATACGTGATATGCGGCTCAGGAAAAGTGGCCCATTTAACCACCTTTTATGTGATAATTTCACCAGAGTTACGTAATACATTTCATTATTTTGATGTGACATGTACATTGCTCGTAGTGTGCCGATGAAATTACAATGCAAACAAAATGATTGCGACTTCTTTCCGAGCTGCATACGTTTCCCGTACGCGTAACATTTCTAATGGTCCAAAATTCCTTCCCTGCGTAAACAAAGCAGCCTTATAAGAAGATGTACACCAAAATACCTTCTCCGTTTGATTCCATTCGAGATGCCGTATTCACCGTATCACCAAACAGACAATAGCGAGGCATCTTGAGCCCCACCACGCCAGCTACGCACGGACCTTAGTTGTGAATTACAGACAACCAAAATAACCAACAGTTAGAAAACATTCGTTTGCCAGGATTATATAAGCTGATAGGGAAAATACAGCAGGGTAATTATGTTCTTTGGTATTAAGTTTTATATATCCCACATAGCGCGGCGCGCCCTTAGTAAGGTCAGGTATTTTTCCTCATGGTATGCATACGTAGATAGTTTGTACTCTTATTATCACTGGATTTAAATTACAAAACCAATCTTCATTGAGGGCGCTCTTTACAAGGATCTATAGGCGTAACGTCATTAACCGTAAATACATGTATAATGAAAACATAAAATACTTAACAATGTAACAACGACTACCAACATATGCATGTACAGTAATAGAACACATTAAGAAACAATTACACACAAAACGGAAATAATCAAAGGAAATATCAAAACAAAAGTTTCCGCAAATCTTGATGGAAATTCCAATGAATGGAATTGAGTGTTAATTTACCGGTGTGTATTCCGACTCGTAGCTTCAGCTTGGTGTCGGGTTTGTGTCTTATCGTGAACAAGCCTACGGCCTGGAGTAAGGCCAGCGCCATGTTGCCGATTTCTCGCGCGTGCGCATTGCCATTGCGGACGGGAACACCAGACACGACCATGTAAGCATCTCCAATGGTCTCCACCTGCAAATAAATAACACAAAACAGTAAAAGGTAAAAACAACTGTTCAGTGAGCTTTTATCTTATTGATACCGCGAAACCAGCGTTAAGACTAATAGAATGTATATAAGCCTGAGGTTCTTAACACATTCAAATCGTGTCACTGATAAAATAACATAATAAATAGTGTATACATTTGTATAGTTGTACAGGGTGACCCAAAATAAATGCAAACCTGAAACAGTTGCCTTTAAAAAAAGGATTGGTGGATTTCTATGTTTTATCTGGGTATCAGATTAAAGCTGAGAGCTTTTTCTTTTAAATACTGAAACAATCACGAAAATAGCACTTTGGGTTGCTGAGAAAATGCCAACTATGTAAAAGTAGTCATTTTTCATACTGTACACAAACGAATTACCACTAAAGTAAGGGATTTTCACTGTACCTATTTGTGCATGTCTTAATCCTTACAAACAACCGACACATAATATGACAAGAGTACAAATGATTTGATGGAAACACCTTTTATTTTCCACCTGAACAGGTATCTCATCCTTTTTAGTCCTATTTCAACCTTTTGGCATCAAAAATATGTCGAAATATAAAGACATTGCACAAATGAAGGATAATTGCACATATGCAGTAGGTTACAGTAAAATGTTTCACTGTTTGAAGAATTTGTGTACAGGATGAAAAATGACTATTGCAAAATTGGCATTTCTCAGCAACCCCAAGTGCTATTTTCATGATTTTTTTTGAGAATTTGAAAGAAAAGCTTTCAGCTTTAATCTGATACCCAAAACATAAAAATCCACCGATCCCTTGTTTTAAAGGCAAATGTTTTAGGGTTGCATTGTTGGGTCACCTTGTACTATAAGGGACCGAGTTCTATTTGACAAAGGCGCTCCAACGAATAAGTCGAACAGTGACGACTGCAAACATTTTGCGTAAACGGAAAGATTTTAAAATAGACAAGGCACGGGTCATTCCATTTC